CACACACACACACACACACACACACACACACACACACACACACACACACACACACGGCCTCCCGACAGACACGGTCTCTCTTACACACACACACAGCCGCACGTCTCCCTACAGACACGGTCTCTCTCACACACACAGCCGCGCGGCCTCCCGACAGACACGGTCTCTCTTACACACACACACAGCCGCGCGGCCTCCCGACAGACACAGTCACACACACTGCCGCGCGGCCTCCCGACAGACACAGTCACACACACTGCCGCGCGGCCTCCCGACAGACACGGTCTCTCTTACACACACACACAGCCGCACGTCTCCCTACAGACACGGTCTCTCTCACACACACAGCCGCACGTCTCCCTACAGACACGGTCACACACACAGCCGCACGGCCTCCCGACAGACACGGTCACACACACAGCCGCACGGCCTCCCGACAGACACGTCACACACAGCCGCACGGCCTCCCTACAGACACGGTCACACACAGCCGCACGGCCTCCCTACAGACACGGTCTCTCTTACACACACACACAGCCGCACGTCTCCCTACAGACACGGTCACACACACAGCCGCACGGCCTCCCGACAGACACGGTCACACACAGCCGCACGGCCTCCCTACAGACACGGTCACACACAGCCGCACGGCCTCCCTACAGACACGGTCACACACACACACAGCCGCGCGGCCTCCCTACAGACACGGGCTCTCTTACACACATACACAGCCGCACGGCCTCCCGACAGACACGGTCACACACACAGCCGCGCGGCCTCCCGACAGACACGGTCACACACACACAGCCGCGCGGCCTCCCTACAGACACGGTCACACACAGCCGCACGGCCTCCCTACAGACACGGTCACACACACACAGCCGCGCGGCTCAGCCTCCCGACAGACACAGTCACACACACAGCCGCACGGCCGAACGAAGTGAGAGAAATTCACCTGCGTGATTAATGGATTCTTGCCACATCTACCAAGAAATGTGCGTTCACACTAAACACACAAAGCCTCAGGCTGCTGAAAGAACAAAGCTAAAGAATAAGCACTCAGACTGTGGTACAGAGACCAGCCTGTCCATCAGAGGACTGCTCTGAGCAGCTGCTACTTACGGAAGACTGCCAGAATATTCCAGCCTGCAGTTTTAATAAACACACAATGAGACCGGCAAAACAAACATGTCAAAGGAGAGAGCAGTGAGGAAGCAGAGAGTCTCTCTCTCTCGCATTCACACACACACACACATTAGTTACCAGGAGCAGAGAAAACCTAATGAGCACAGCTCTCAGCCCGGCCTTCCTTGTGTCCCCATTAGCACAGCGAGTGGGACACTTATACTGAAATGGCAAGCTGACAGGCAGCCCTGACGGGGCACTATGGCGATCGCTTGACGGTGCGATGCCGAGATCTCGCCGGTGGAGTGACACGGCGCCCCCCTCCCCCCCACCTACTGCTTCTCGTCTCGGTCTTTGGGACCCGAACCTCAATCCCAGACCCGCGCCGCTCCTCTCCTCGTGCTGCTGCCACTTCCTGTAGCACGTATCGCTCCGTGGCGAAAGCGAAAGCGTGCGAGTAGTGCGACGCCCCGGGGGCAGCGCCGGGGTCACGTCACGGCACGCAGGCACGCTGCCGGCGCAATCTCCTCCCACTCAGTGACTGTGCTCCCACAGTGCACGCATGATGCAGGATGCTTGTGGCGGCCCCCCCCCAGGACACCTCAAGGTAACGACAATGTTCTCCAAGGGGCCGTAATGGATGGGGGCAGGTCTGTACTACAGACCTAAAAAGGCCAATACGATAAAATAACCACAGCTAGAGTAAAATCGGAACAGTAACCATTAAGAGGGAATTAAGATTCGCAAGAGAAAGACAAGAGGAATAAGGAGAGGAGTGGAGGTGGCGGCACACGGACCAGCCCGGTCCCAGTCACTCAAATCGAGAATAGCAGGCGAGGGCCGGGCGCGATAAAAATAGCACGGGGACTCATTTCCAGAAAAAGCGTACTACTCGGAGCATGCCACGACGAGCGAGAAGGGCAGAGGAAGCAGCAGCCACCGCCTCAACAGGCAGAGCCAGAAGACACCTCTATCTGTCCCCAGCCATGTCGCAGGCCGGGCTAACGGCACAAGATGAGTCACATTCAGACACCTTTGGGTCGTCGGCTGCCGTCTGCTTAAACAGATTCCGACCTGCACCCCTCGAAAATCTCCTGGGGGCCTGTGGGAAAGAAAGCAGTCCAGGAGACAAGCCCAACGCATCCTGCAAACTGTCACTTAGCGGGCAGCGGAAATTATATCCAGGGAGATACGACGGCTCAGAAAGAAGGGCTGTTGCCTCACAACTCCAACATCCAGGGGTTTGAATCTCATCACCTCAGTGTGTAGAGTTTGCCCTCCCCCATCACACGCATCTCGATTGGGTACTATGCGGTCCAACAACATGTGCTTAGACTATGCAACATCTCAAAATTGCCCATAGTGCATGATTGTGTATGATTGTGAGTATGCACGCTTTTGTGCCCAGCGGTGGACTGGCATGTCCAGGCGCGCCCCAGCCGTGGGCCCTGCGCTGCCTGGGGTAGCTTCCAGGGCCCCCTGCTACTTTGGCCAGGATAAGCACTTGGAAGATGGATGGATGATTGTAGCTAAAATGTTCCCAAATGCTGCCCTTGCTTTTAAGCCCCAGGAGACATCATCTAAAACAATAATACATTTGGACGTCACAGTAGTTTCTCTTCACCTTTGGATAAAAGCTTCATTTTTATCCAAATTTAACAGCAGCTTTTACAACTAATTTCAGCTTTCTGTTACACAAAGATAAAGAATGCATGGTTATTCCACTCCAGCCAAAATTACGCATGAAACACCTCCCACACCAGAACTCAGCATGGTCCATAAGCAGGTGTGGTCCATTCTCCGGCATAAGGACCAGCTTGTCAGAGCTGACAAAAGGAGCACAGCACGGTAGCACAGATTAGCCCACAGGGTTGAGGAGAAGGTGGTGGTGGTGTGGAATGCGGAGGTTCACTCACTCTGAGCCAGCAGCCATGTTCAGATACGAGGAGTCGCTCACGTCCTGCCCTACTGGGACCCCTATGCTCATGACGTTCCCTTCTGAGAAATCCTTGTCCTACTGAGTCCGGAGCGTGGGGATCCAAAAGATGGAGGCATTCCAGCCACAGCGCTCATTGCAGACATCTAAGTGCATCCACCAAGCCTGCAAGAAGAGCAGAAACAGAGTGTGTTAGTACTCAAGTTCAGCATGACACACACGCACTGCGATTTACCTGAGTGAAGCTTCCAGTGCAGCTCAAACAAACTCATTAAAGAAAAAATGAAGAGAGCTCAGGCTCTTTACTCCAAACACAATCATTACTCAGAAAGGCCATCATTATCAATTCCAGACTTTAGTGACAACAGCAGTAACCTTTTTGGTCCACTAGAGGGAACCAAACTTACAAAAATCAATTTAAACATGCCAAACAATATAGTTGCCAGTTTTCCTAGAAGACTCATGCATTCTTTCACCCTCTCGCTCATACACACTCCTACAAAAGTTCAATCATAGCCAGATGCCACCTTGTGGCGATCAACCCTTTTTGCTCATATTAAAAATACCCTTAGACACTCAAAGAAGTCTGACTTCAGCAGAGATGTGAAGGCATGGGGATTATTAGTCAATAAAAAGCTAAGAAAGGCTGACACAATGTACACACACACACACACACACACACACACACACACACACACAAACCATCTCACCCATCCAAACCATCTCTGGCAATGGTTCCAANTAGTCAATAAAAAGCTAAGAAAGGCTGACACAATGCACACACACACACACACACACACACACACACACACACACACACACACACACACCCATCCAAACCATCTCTGGCAATGGTTCCAATAGAAGAGGCTACAAGGGACAGTCTGCAGGTGATGCCCTGCAAACTCTCTCTCCGAAATGAGCGACACGGTTGCAGGATGGCATCACCTCCATGTTCCTACGAGCCTGTCTAGAGCAGGGCGGACCAGCCCCCACACATCCTGCCAATGCTATAAATCAATACGGCTGGGGATGCTGACAGATGTACACACAACCCAGCGGGGACACCAGCTTTCACTCGCCCATGGAGGCAGACAAGCCTCTGTTTATGTAGCAGCCAGCGGGGCCAAAGCGTCTGGCTGATTGTCACCACAATGGCATCTTTCAATCCTGGTCGTTCTACTCAGTGAAGTGACTTGAGTCACAAAGAATCACAACGTCTACCGTTGGCAGGAGGACACAGGTGAGCCAATCTGAAAGCTTCTGCGTGAAGGACATTCCAAGATACACCATTCAAAGTTTTGTGCCTGTGTGTGTCTATGAAACAAACATACAGTTACTTCCTTTATAATGATGCAAGAATGACAAACTGCAGCCGCTGCCCAATTTCATCTGATTCACATCCTATATTTAAGATCAGATTAGCTGCATTACTAAAAATGTTTATGGTTTGGCCGTAGAGGTATACTGCCTGGCTCTTAAATGCATCAGCCAGCAGGTTCAGGAACTTCTCACCAACCAACAAAACAGCAGCCAGACTCCAGACTGGAGGCGGGACTGAAGTAAAACTGTCCCATAGCCTTTCAAAGCCTCCACAGGTTTCCGCGCAATAAAACTGCTTCCCTCTGAAACCACCAGTCCGTACTTCAAACAAGGGAAGCCTGCTGTCACTGGTTAAGAATGTGAACACACACGACATCAAATTAGTGTGTGTGTGTGTGAGAAGGTAGTGGTGGTAATGGGGAGGGGGGGTGTAGTGTAATTGGGACTATCAAAGAGACATTCCACCAAGGCCCGCCCACCCACCCTATAGGACAGCATTCTTTTACTCGGAGCCACACAAGGATCGTACCCACAAAACAGGGTGGGAAGTGGGGAGAAAGGGGGTGGGGTTTCTACAAACACACACACAGGAGAGAGACGGCCAGCAAAGCGGAGTCTGTGCTTCACTTCCCCTCCTTCAACAAAGCTGTCAGTCACATGTGAGAAACACCAGCGCCAGACATGTACGGTGTACGCGCACATATACACACATTCCTGCAGCACTCAGTCCCACCCCAGCCTGGCCCCATTACTCACTCACACTAACTCACACACTCACTCTCGCTCTCTCCATACTCTACTTCCAAGGTCCAGGATGGAAAAGCCTGCAACATTGCTCATAATTAAAAGGGAGCTAAACGTCAGCATGTGGAATTAGATCTAACATCAAGATGTCTGCCGAGTCACATGGGGGGGGGGGGG